TACACTAACCAAAGAAAGAAAGAAAACCACAGAATACTTTTACTCCTAGCGGAGGAAGAAGCCTGTTGAAAACATACGAAAAACGACATACATAGAGATACATAAAGGTGGCGTCGCCTTTTGATTGACTTATTCATTGAGCTTACTTCACGTTTTTACATCCATCGCACAGATGACTCTGATTACAAAAATCGATTGAAACGCGTAATTTACATAAAAATCGATTTTTATTATAAAAAAATCGTCTTCGAAAAATCGATTATAACAAAAAAATAATCGATTAATATAAAAATCGATTATTTTTTCACATCCCTAATCACCAATAATTATTGGTACGGATGTGACATTGAGTGAAAATAATCGATTAATAAAAAATCGATTTTTTGCTTTGTGATAATAATCGATTTAAGGAAAATCGATTTTTTTATAAAAAAATAATCGATTTTTGCGAAAAAAGAAATATTTTATTCGAAAAATAATCTTCTGGTTTTAGAAATAAAGTACAGAACAATTTTTATAACATATTATAACTTTGAACAATAAAAAACTAAAAATAATTGCTGCCACTAATGTTCAGCGCCATTTAACAATTTATTACAACCAAAATAAACAGAAACGATAAATTAAACTAAGTTTTACGGATTTTATCGCATTTAATTTAACTTTTTAATTCCCGACATTTCAGGTGCTTTACAGCACGCATGGTCACAGAGGGGACTGAGGTGTTTGACGTCCCTATGTCATAGTTGAACCACAAATCCTCGCAAAAGAACACCGATTCCTACCAAGGATGATTCGCGAGGCTATCGAAATTAAAAAACATCCTAATTTCAATAGAGAAGATGGATGGGTGCTGCCATCTGCTTGGCATCCTATAATTAATAAAATTAAATCCAAACCCAAGCATACCACTGTAAGACTTCAAGATACTGTAAGCTCATTCAGCGTAGATCGGACCAAAAATTAATATTCAAAAACTGAATTTAGCCAGGCTAACTATGACATCTGGACGTCAAGACCTCAGTTCCCCCGTGACCATGGGTGCTGTGAAGCACCCGAAAAGTCAGGAATTAAAAAGTTAAATTAAGCGTGATCAAATCCGTAAAAATTAATTTCATTTAATGTGTAGTCTTCGCGTACATTTTTTTTTTTTTTTTTTATGGGATTAGGGAGACAAACGAGCACACAGTCCACCTGATGGTAAGTGGTTGCTGCGGCCCATAGACATCTACATCTATCCTCTGTTACAAATCAAAATGTAGATGCGTTGTCACCCGTGAGGACTAAGATGAAATGCCTCATTTCCAGTAAAAAGGGCCTCCGGCCACCTGCACTCACCAAGCGAAACGCAGAGGTAAACCTCTACTTCACATTGGTTTTCTGTGAGGTCGTGGTACTACCCCGGTTCGAGCCGGCCCATCCGTGCGACAGCAAAAGCTGCCGCATGGCTCTACCACTGTTGGTACATATAAGAAATCATTAAGAAACCATAATTTTAGTGAACGATAGTTTTTTATAAATTAAGTTTCAACAAACAAAAAGTCTAAATATCATTATGCCACTAATGTTCAGTATCATTTACATTGGATTAGAATGAAAATAAAATAAAATTATAATTATAAATAATCCGACGACAACCTTTTGATCTCAAAACTAAAATACAAGACAAATCTTTTTTTAAACTTGTGTGAAAAAAAATTGCCATGAGTTTTCAGTTAAAGACTTTAAAAACAATCATTTCACCAAAATTCTTCTTCGTCTCTTTCCCAAAATACGGTTTCGTTTTTTCCTGACAATATTTCCCGCTTTCAAAAATAATCTTTCGGCTGGCGCGGAACTGGCCATCACTGAGAGGTGTTTAAAAGCCAATTCGGTTAGTTTAGGGAAAGTTCCTTCAGAGTTTCTCCATATATTGAGGGCATCTGCATCATTGAGATTTGATAGTGGTGCCGCAATATATAGATCCAATTCAGTATTTTTGCCTATTGACGTGTTGGCCGCTATCATTTTTTCATTATAAAATACTTCTGTCAGTCACTTTTACGTGTTTCACAAGACATTTTTATTGTTTATATATAATTGTTTACACTAACCAAAGAAAGAAAGAAAACCACAGAATACTTTTACTCCTAGCAGAGGAAGAAACCTGTTGAAAACATATGAAAAGCGAAACTGTTTTACATACATAGAGATACATAAAGGTGGCGCCGTCTTTTGATTGACTTATTCATGTTATTGAACTTACTTCACGTTTTTATATCCATCGCACAGATTACACTGATTACAAAAATCGATTGAAAAGCGTAATTTACATAAAAATCGATTTATTAAAAATCGATTTTTATTATAAAAAAAATCGACTTCGAAAAATCGATTATAAGAAAAAAATAATCGATTAATATGAAAATCGATTATTTTTTCACATCCCTAATTATTGGTACTACAGTGAGGAACCTTATTGTCTTTAATATTAAAAAATAAATAAATGTAAACTATAAGCCAATGCCTTCAGTATTAGTAGTAGTAAATTAGGTAATTACAAGTAAATGAAGATAATTACGTATAAATTTTACGTATAAAATTACGGATAAATAAGTATCTATATTATGCCTCTATCTGCAAACAAATGAAAAATAAAACTACACTCAACCAAGGACAGTTCTTTACTTCTTTACCCTTTGAGTAATAGATGTGATCGTGCACAAAAACAGATGCAATTTCTATCAAAAAAAATTCAGTAGCAACCTGGAGTCCCGGAGTATTTTATCCCTGTGCTGTGCTTCATATTCGTGTCGGTTTACCGTACCATCGGACTATGAGAGTGAGAGAATAAAAAGTGCATATGTGTTTGCGCATATATTCTTGAACCATAATCCTGCTCTGCGCCATTAAAGTATACTTGTATATATATTTAAGAAGGGAATTAATTGCGTCCTAATTTTTCAGGCGCAGAAAAACTGAATATCTTTAAATGTTATTGGAAAATAGTTTTTAATTTTACACACTGCGAGTCTTTCTCTAGTACCAATAGACTTCCGTAAATGTGTATTTTCTTTTTATATCACTCAATAATTTTATCAATCTCCTCAAAATGCACTTTTGTCATACGAAAGTACAGAAAAAATCGTCCGCCATCATTTTCCAGTTCATATTTTTGGTTTGGTATTCTCCAAACTCCTCTCTTTTTACATTTAAATTTTTTTTAATATAAAAGGCAATAAGGTGCCTTACTGTAGTACCAATAATTGGTGAAGGGCTTGCTTATTTAGGGCAATCTCTTATCTGTTGTATGGGAAACAATTGTTGACTTGATAAATTCGAAAGCAAATGAGTTGTGAATTACATTAAAAGTAAAGTAAAGTTGCAGTCTATTTACGTCCCACTGCTGGGCACAAGCCTCCTCTCATTTCTGAGAGGATTATAGGGCAAGGAAATGTCTGCCAAGCTGCCCCAATGCATGTTGGCGAACTTTACATGTGTTCGAAATATTTTTTTCTTTATTTCTCAGACATGCAGGTTTCCTCACGATGTTTTCCTTCACCGCCGAGCACGTGGTAAATCAGCAATTAAAATTGCAATTAATAATTTCATTGGTGCCAGCGGAAATCGAACCAGTGGCTCGCATACTGTAAAATTTACAGCAAGCTTTTAGCCCCTGAGCTACGGAGGCTTGTCAAAGAGATATCAGGCAGAGATATATAGATTTTTATACGTGGTAGAGCCATGCTGCAGCTATATTAATAGTAGTGTTGTAGCACAAATGGGTCGGCTCGACTGGGGAAGGACTGCACTCACAGAATACCAGTGTAAAATAACAGCTTAATGCTGTTGTGTTTTGTATGGTGAGTGTAGAGAACCGGAGACCTTTTTTACAGGAAAGGAGGCATTCCATCTTAAGTCTTCACGGGTGACAACACATTTGCATTTTAATTCCTAATCGAGGATAGATGTAGATTTCTATGGGCAACAGCAGCCCCTTACCATCAGGTGGACTGTGTGCTCGCGTGTCACCCTTATCCTATAAAAAAAAAGGAAGAATCAAAACTTCATCAAATCTTATTAAAGATTTTATTCAACAAAACATGAATGTGATAGAGAGGATATAAATTAATCATGTTGCCTTGCATTTCCTACTTTACAGATTAATCGCAGTACCAGTTTCCAGAGCCTGTGATACACCATTTGCATCTTAGATAAAGTTTGTTTTAAGTTGCACCTACGTCTACTTCATCATTTGTTCAGTGGTTTGCTATAAACCTACTTATTTATTTAAGATGATTTTATTATGTGTATGTTATGTTACATTATTAAGTTATCATATCTGAGTGTGATGTAACTGGTGACTGTAATAAGCTGAGGTCAATGTAATGCCAAAAAGTTCTTATGGTATTTCCCATTATCGCTTCTTACCAATCCTATGCTGCAAAAGAGGGTCATAGATTCCATAGACAAAAGTAATACATTGGGAAGTCACACCCCTGATAGATTTTCTTACATCATTATACTTCACACCTATGTGACACGGCTTATTTTTATCAAACACCTTAATAAAGGGCACAACTTGTATATACAAGCTCTTGTTTTATGTATGTAAACATAATAACACATAAACTCTCATGCCTGTTGTTTAAAAGGGTAGGCAGCTACCATAAACTTTTTTAAGGCAGGGTCATGAGACTGTTCTTGCTTGTTTCATATCCATATATCTATGCTTACATGCTTGTTGGTTAAATCCACAGTTGTTAATCCTTTCTAAAAAGTTAATAACTATGATACCTATTGACTTTTTATTTAACAAACTATACTTTTTCAATAATCCCCAACATGAAACAGTAGTAGTTAAACTGAAATAAGTCTGAATTCATTTTTAGTCCTTTTAAAAAGTGCATTAGATAAGAATTGGCAAGTACCAACATCATTATATTATTTATATTATCTAATATAACTATGTTCTTGTTCTAATGATAAATAAATAATATCACATCAAGAAAATATTTACTTTATATACTTTGCACTCCATCAGATGTTATTATAAATTTAGTTGATGAATTTGGCAAATCTGGAGCATACACTATAGAGAGTTCCCTTATGTATGTGTTGCAATGTAAATTTTCTGAATTTTTTTGTAAACATTCTTTATTATTCAAATTCACATCTTTTGCTATTTTTTTTAAACACAACCTATATGTAACCATATTTGACCAAGCCAGTCCAAGAGATGGTAGCACATTTAATGAACCACCAAATGATGCAGTTACTTGGTTTATGCAAATGATAGCTAAGTTATACTTTTGTGCAAGAGATAACAGCATTATAGCAACTTCTCTTAAATCTTCAGCCCTCTTCACATAATTTGTACTTTCACATCTAAAAGGAGCAGCAATGGAGTCAATTATTATTACAGATACTTCATTTGCCTCCAGCAATTTTGGTAACCGGACTCTAACACATGACAGAAGTTCATGAGATTCAGTGAGATGCTCCACAAAAATATGTTTGGCACAACGACTGTCAAACTTATCACGAGATGAATCAATAATTTGATTTAACCGTTTCACTGGGAATAAATCTTCAGTGCAAATGTACACACTTTTATTGGGCCAACTATTTATTGCTGCTATAATTCCAAGTTGTGTTTTACCAGATCCGCTTTCACCGTATACTTCTGTAATAGTACCTGTGCGAAAGCCCCCATGTAGTAAATTATCAATGTTTATACATCTCGTTGCTATTTTCCGTACTTTTTGTGTTTTGAGAAGTTCATCGCAAGTGAAGCTAGATGGATTTAAGGAGTTGGAAACAACATTCTTTAAAAATAAGATATCTTCAGTTGCTATGTTAGTAACTTTTTTTATGTCCCACACCGAAAGTACCAACAACTGACGAGGGGTGGCTATACCAGCTTTATCAATTTTTTCAAATATATTAGGTGGAAGTAAGCTTTTTAACACATTTAAATTCATATTTTTTGTTAGATATTTAGATAATATATTAGTTTATTATTTCTTCATTCCTTGTTTCTTGTTTGATACCCCATTTACACTCTCGCGCGAGCGACGAGGCGAGTCGCGAGGCGAGCCACGAGGCGCGAGTGTAAACGCTAGCTCGTGGCTCGCCTCGCAGTTCGCCTCGCCACTCGCGGCGCTCGCGTCGGAGGCGGTTTTTTGGGCACGAGGCAAAGGGACGCGAGCGTGGTGTTTACACTCGCGTCTCGTTTCAATTTGTTTACGGCGCCCTTCCATAATAACTTTCGAATTGCTTTTGGTTTAAAATACAATTTTAATAAAATAATATTATTTAATCTTACTATATATAAAATAATAAAAATATAAAAATATTAAAAAGTATAAAAATATTATTTCATCTTAATAGGTACTCGTAATTTATATAAAATTATGAAACTGAAAAGGTTCTGTTTCGATGAATAAATATCATCCGTCATATTCTTCCTCAACGACGTATTTTTATTGATTTCCATCTTTTTAAAATGGTCAAACATCGATAAATACTTATTAAGGCAAGAGTTGATGCCGCTATTATTTCGACGTCATTCATTGTTGCTGGCTCAACGCAAACTGACCGCATCGCGAGAGTGTAAACAGGCACTCGTTACCTCACAACAACACGCGAGCTGCGAGGCGAGGTACGAGGCGAGCCGCGAGGCGAGAGTCTAAACGAGGTATAAAATTTCAACTCCATTGTTTTTTAATAACTGGCTTTACGGCTCTGGGATCTAGCCCTTCTGAGCCTGAAGTTACAATAAATTATAATTATCCTTAATTTATTATTTATTTACTATTTATTTACACTTAATACACAAAATCGCACCACTTTTACATATCAAAGTCCACTTCAAACCATTATTTAAACAATTATACAGGAGCAGCAAACCGCCGCTGGTCAAGTTCCCGCCAAAACTCCTTTCAACTCCATGCAGCACAAAAACCACAGACTAATATGATGCTTAACAAAATTAGAAACACATGCAGCAGGTAGAGGGTTTCTCTCTTTACGCATGCAGCAACTAGTGGTTCTTTTATTCATTATTGGCTTACGAATGCTTGTTCTTTAAGCCATGTCGTCATTACATTCGGGATCTTCGTTTTTATAGATTGTCAGTATCAAGTGATAATAATCCTTTAAAATACACTGCTTCACTATATGTTGATGCATCATATTGCGTAATTTTTGGAAGATTTTAACGGTAACTTGAAATAGCACACAGTTAACGATAGTATCTCAAGGCACCTAAGCAGACAGACACCTTATTTTGAGATTCACATCATCATCGAAGCACTTGTTTCACCGTTTCCAGTATTACTACACTTAATACACAGAATCGTACCATTATTTAAACAAAAATTCAAGAGCAACAATCAAAGTTCCTAAAGCCCGCTTTTCACTATGGGATATAATGTAATATAATATTATATCTCGAGATACAAGTTAATATCGCTCACCGTACTTTTTAATGGAACCGTTTACACTGAGATGTAATATAATATATATTACATCTCAGTGTAAACATCTCATATTATAAATAATTTTACTATCGACCGAGCGATATTTTCATATTATATTTCGCCCCCTGTACCCCGCACAACGTTTCGCGCCGCCGTTACGTCCTCAATTTTGTGTCTGTCATTACCTGAATGAACTTTTGCGTAGTGCGTTTATTCAATTATATTCGTAACTTTTCTTAATAAAATTCATTAAAAGGTCTAAATTCACCATATTCCTCTCTAAACTTTATATGACTTGATATCCAGTGTCGACGCACCCTGTTATTACTTAAAAGTAACACACATACACCGAATTCTGCATCATCTCCCTCTGATGAACTGGCGAGGCTATCAAGCAAAACAATATCCATTTTTGTGAAAGACAATTTTGTTTGTAAACGACGAGTGCAGTGTAAATTTAATCCAATGGCGAACGCACACTGGTTAAAAGATATATCTCACAATGTGAAAGCCAATCGCGGGATATAATTTATATCTCTGGATATAATATATATTATATCCCATGGTGAAAAGCGAGCTTAAAAACAAAGTTCTTGCCAAAACACCCTAGCTTTGGTTACAGATTAATACATCCAGGGCCGGATTAACCTTTAGGCAATAGGCAGAGTAGGCAACTGCCTAGGAACCCCGCATTGGGTAGGGGCCTCGTGCGCGCACAAATATAATGGAAAATGTTTCATACAGAGCAAAATTTTATTGGAAAATTTGTAACCTCAGTGACAATAGGTATTATTAAGTTTTAGCGACGTATACTGTCAGTTGATGAAATACTTCATACTTACAGAACAAAACCATCTAGTATCCAGTAGTAGAACTAATAATATGAATACGTTACATCCCTTTATGCTGGCTGCAAAGGGGCCCGAGAATTTCATTGCCTAAGGGCCCCAACATTGTTAATCCGGCCCTGGATACATCACTCCCATACAAAAGCAAAAATACCTACGCTATAATAGCCTACAAAATCTTAATAATAATATCTGCTGTTCGCAGCGAGAAGAAAATGTACCATAAGTACACGCCTAAAGAGTCGAGATTGTGTTGACGCGACTCACGTGCAAGCGCGTCATCGCACGAATGCGCTAGGGTTGTATCTATGATGATTATTGTAGTAAAACGAATCTTGCGAAATAATCATATTTTTTTATTTGTCAATCAAATATGTTTGAATTTTATAAAATGATTAATACATTTTTTTCCTTCTCTGAATTCTTGGTTATTTTTTTTTCTCTTTATTTGGATCACCAACAGATGATACACAATACTAACAAAAATATAACTTAACAATGCGACTACATGCTATGTGTTCATCTTCTTACAGGTAACCACAACTTACATAAATAGCGAAGTGATTTTTTAAAAAAAATAGAAAACAGATAGTTATATGATAATAAATATACATGGAAAACCAGATTTGATATAGCTACAGTTTGTGGATTTCATGCTTACATTCTATATATAATATTGATATTAAATTAAATCTATTAATTTTATTACACATTTCTGAAATGTTTATGGATCAAATACTTAAATCTAGACAACGGTGTATACATTATATCTATTTCTATGGAATTTGGTATACGGTTGTATAATGACATCATTCTGGTAAGTGGGAGTTACGACCTAAATTACTTTTACAGAGACGCTCTTTGAACAGCTTGTAAACCTTAAAGCGCGGTAACTTATTTGGCACAGATATATTTATTTTACTTAGAAGTTGCGGGCAGTCAATATGGTTATGTAATAATTTGTGCAAGAACATAAGATCTAGATTTTTCCTTCTATTGTTAAGTGTTGTCATTTTAAAATATTTAAGTTTTTTATTATATGAATTCAATAAATGTGATTTCTTTGTGTGGTGACATAAAAAGCACAAAAATCGCTTTTGAATTTTTTCAATACGGTTTTTGTGTACTTCATAAAATGGATTCCAGACTTGAGGACAGTATTCCAGAATACTCCTTACTAATGTATTATATAGCAACATAATAGTTTTAGGGTCCTTAAATTGTCTAGAATTCTGCATAATAAAACCCAACATTTTGGAGGACCTTTTTATGATATCATCTAGGTGAGTATTGAAACTTAATCTGCTGTCAATCATAATACCAAGATCTCGAATAATAGAAGCCGGTTCTAAAGGTGTGTTATTTATCTTATATTGAAATAAATAAGGTTCTTTGTTACGTGAGAAAGTTATGACGTTACACTTATTCACATTCAAAAGCATTTTATTGTCTCTACACCAATTACACAATCTATCAATGTCCTCTTGTAGCAATACACTATCACTAATGCTTCTTATTGGCCTTAACACCTTAAGATCATCCGCAAAAATATAAGGCTCATAGTAAGGAAAGCAATTAACTATATTGTTTATAAATATTGAGAACACGAGTGGACCAAGGTTTGAACCTTGAGGAATACCTGATGTGACGATAAATGTTTTCGATCTAGCTCCATTGACAACCACAAATGATTGGCAGTCTTTTAAATAGGACGCAAGCCACTGTAAGTTAGAGCCCCCAATACCAAAGTGAGACAATTTATGAAGAAGTATTTCATGGTCTACCTTGTCGAATGCCTTGCTAAAGTCAGTATATATTGTATCGACTTGAACGCGTTGATCAACGAATTCCGTCAAGGTTTCGACAAAGTCGACCATGTTCGTGTTAGTGGATCTACCTCTGATAAATCCATGCTGCTTATTTGTTAGCTGAGTTTTAACATGGTTGTATAGATAAGAATAGATAATACTTTCAAATACTTTTGAGAAAATAGATAGAATTGATATTGGTCTATAATTTTTTATGTCTCGCTTAGAGCCATCCTTATGAATTGGCACAATTTTAGTTTCTTTCCAACGTGCTGGAAAGATACCTGATTTTAGAGACTTATTAAATATTATGGTAAGGGGGTGTGACAATTGTTTAGCGCAATTGACAATGAAAACTGGTGGTATGTCATCGGATCCCGGTCCCTTGCATAAAACAAGTCTTTTTAATTTGATGAAGACTTCTAATTCATTTAGTTTTAAATGATTTAAGGTATGCAACTGCTCTTCAGTATTTTTTATGTTACAGTTATACACATTAGTAGATGATGCAGCATTATGGGAAATTGATGAAATTTTTTTGCAAACAACTCACTAATCTTTACATTATCCTCAACTAACTCATTTTCCAGAAACATAGATGATAACGTATTACTTCTATTTTTACGTTTATTTTTTAAAAAGGTCCAAAAGTATTTTGGGTTTTGTGAGATGCTGCTTTCGATTCTGTTACAGTAGTTATTATAACTTAAAGATAATAATTTTTCACTTCTTTTTTTTAGTATTTCATAACTGATATTATCTAAAGGATTATGATATTTTTTATAACGAAGACGTATTTTATTTTTTTCTTTTAGAATTTTGATGAGATCTCCGCGGAACCATG